GCTCGCTCAAAAGGAGACAAAGTAGGTACTGTGTTAGCAGCCATTGTGTACCGAGCAAAGAAATGTTTCAACTGCAGATGCCTGAATAACTCAGAGGCAGGGAGGTTATGGGACTCACATAGTGAGGCAAAGGATTTAAATTTATTCCTGAACACGGAGAGTCGGGTCTGGGTGAAACCAGCCGTAGACCAGTGAGTAAAGACATGTGGTGTGGACCAGGCTGGGGGAAAGGCTGGATTTCGAAGGTATGAAAGGAGGGGATTATGGGGTGATTGTAGGAGATAGCGGGACTTCAATTTATCCCAAAGGAACAAAAAATGTGAGGTGATGGGATTCGCAATCGTGAAGGTTTGCTGTAGAAAGGGGGTCGCACTCAATGGATTCAAGAATAACCCACTGCGGGGTTTCGTAGGTAGCGTGATACTTCGGCAGTTGTGCTATATGCGCCGCTTGGTAATACTTGCTAATTTAGTCATCCTATTTTCATATATTGTTGTGGACATGTTAAAAAAATACCAAATGTCTCAAATACCTTTATGGATCCTTTATACTGCTCATGTAGTGCACATCATATCAGGAAGTTTAAGTTTGTACAGTGCTGTTTGGAACAATTTTGGGCAGGTGACATGAAAAAAGAAAAATACTTTAACCACTTCAGTTTGTCCAGTTCTGGGAGGGCATCATACAGTATGATGTCCTTCCAGAGTGCGCTTTCCCAGCGGCGCGTTACCATCGCGGTGTGCACCTAGCGCTCTCTGTGATCACTATGTGCTTTGGGCACAGCTAATCAGATGACACGGTAAAGGGACAATCACAACAGCCTTTTACCATGTGATCAGCTGTGTCCAATTACAGCCTTTTACCATGTGATCAGCTGTGTCCAATTACATGATCACCATGTAAATACACTTCCCTGTCACAGAGTGAGGAAAGTACTGCCGAACAACCCTCGCTGGACCCCACCTGTTTGAATAACTTAAGACCCATCTCCCTGCCCCAGTTTGCCTTCAAGCTTCTAGAGTGCCTTGTTCACAACCGTATGAACTGCTACCTCACTGACAACAACCTTCTTAATCCCCGACAGTCTGGCTTCCGCCCACAACATTCCACAGAAGCTGCCCTACTAAAACTTACTAATGACCTACCAACTACTAAAACCAATGGCCATTACTCCATACTTATACTCCTCCACCTTTTTGCTGCCTTTGACACAGTCGACCACCCGCTCCTCCTCAGTAAACTCCACTCCATCGGCCTCCGTGACACTGCTCTCTCCTGGTTCTCCTCTTACCTTTCTCAGCGTACTTTCAGTGTCACAACTCCTCCTCCTCTGCTCCGCTTCCTCTTTCTGTTGGGGTACCTCAAGGTTTTGTTCTTGGGCCCCTCCTTTTCTCTCTCTATACCTCCTCCCTGGGCCAAATGATAACCTCCCATGACCTCCAATACCACCTCTATGCTGATGACACCCAGATCTATCTCTCCACTCCCCAGCTCCCCCCCTCAGTCTCCTCACATATCACAAATCTACTAAGCGACATATCAGCATGGATGTCACATCACTACCTTAAACTCAATCTTTCAAAAACTGAGCTTGTAAAATTTCCTCCTCCCAGGTCCTCCACTCACGACTCACGACTCACGACCTTAAGATCAACAGCACAACCATTGGTCCTTCCCCTCATGCCAGCGTGCTAGGCATAATCCTAGACTCTGACCTCTCCTTTGGGCACCACATCCACTCACTGGCTAAATCCTGCCACCTCAACCTCCAGAACATTTCCAAAATCTGCCCCTTCCTGACCAATGACACCACAAAACAACTTATCCACGCCTTGGTTTTATCCCGCCTCAATTACTGCAACTCCCTCCTCACTGGTCTACTGTTACACAGGCTATCCCCCTTCAGTCTACTATGAATGCTGCTGCTAGACTCATACACCTTACCAACTGATCAGCAACTGCTGCCCCTCTCTGCCAATCCCTTCACTGGCTTCCACTAACCCAACGTATAAAATTCTAAATACTATCCACAGCTTACAAAGACATCCACAACACTGCCCCTAGCTACATCTATAAATAATCATATGCTACCTATACCATATAAAATAATAAAAAATTGTGTAGTCAAAATAAAAAATATTTCAAAAAGTGTCCATAAACAACAATACACCAAAACGTCACTAATTAAGATCAGTGTATAAACATATTCAAGTGTCCTTCAAAAATTAATAAAGTCCATAGTGGTATTTCAAAAATCCGGTGTTAAAGCCTTCCATTTGATTCCCACGATCAAAATAGAACCTCAAAAAAAATTTTTTATATAGTGCGTTATCCCTAATAAACCAATATAAACAATACAAAAAATATAAATAAAATAAAATAAAACTTGTGCAAATCACGCATGATCACTGGCAGTGAAAAATTGGTGAATGGATGTGTCAGCCGTGACAGTGAATCAGTCTCAGTGCAAAATAAACAACCAACAACAAGTGTCAATAATAGTGAACGGTTCTAATGTGTAAGGGGTGACTACCCTTACCAAATGGAATTAATAATCACGCCTTAACAGACCATCAGGATAAGATACAATTCCAAAGAATAAACTCCACCAAAGAGATCTTTTTAGGATGTCATCACAGCCTTACGGATAAATCTCCCTGTTGTCATCTGGGTAAAGCAAGCCTGTGTACTCCTTACTCCTTCTAATACCAAGCTCCACCGATACATAACATATATAGAACAAAATATAGTGTAATACCGCAATACACCATTAAAACCATACTTTATTAATGTGCTTACATTGTTACAATCTTCAAAAACGCCATTTCACAAACATTTCAAACCTCTGGGAAGTCCTGGTATCATCCACGAGTGTCTGAAAGGATTTGCCAATAACCAAGATGGCTGATCCGTCACTTCTGGTTCCGTGTGCGTCTGACGTCACTTCCCTTGTCGTGTTTCGTCATCGGACTTAGTCATAAGGTATGCGATCGTCAGAGAGGAAAGTTCTATTTATACTCCTCCTCAACATGGCACCAAGACGAAAGCCGCCATGTTAGAGCAGGGAGTGATGCCAGCAGCATACGGTACTTGATAGGGGAGGCATAACTGATACGGTGGCTTCCATTTCAGTCTACCTCCATACTGGGACAAATATATACTTCACTGAATGATTCAAGGACTTATAATAGGATGACAATCAAATCGCTACCGTTTAAACCATATGGCATGAGCCTATGCAATCTACCTAAGCCTCCTATAGAGGGTGCTATATACATCAGTTGCATCGCCAACCTCATCCACAGATACCACCCAAATCGCCCACTCCACTCCTCCCATGATATCTTCCTCTCTAGCTCCCTCATCACCTCCTCCCAGGCTCGTCTCCAGGACTTCTCCAGAGCATCTCCCATCCTCTGGAACTCCCTACCACAGCATTTCTGGTCAGCCCCCACCCTTTAGGCAATCTTTGAAAACTCACCTCTTCAGGGAAGCCTACCCCACCTCCACCTAAGAACTGTACTTGAATCACCTCCACCAGATCATCCCCCGCAGCTATCACCTTTTGTATCACCTCCCCCTTCCTTTAGATTGTAAGCTCCACAAGCAGGGCCCTCCTATTCCTTCTGTACTGAAATGTATTGTAATTGTACTGTCTCCCTTATATTGTAAAGTGCTGTTGGTGCTATATAAATCCTGTATTATAATAATAATAATTATTATAATAAACGGCAACTATGAAAGCAGACATCTACACTGATAATCAGGGCACTGATTATCAGTGCCCTGGTTATCAGTGCAGCCCCAAAAGTGCCCATCACTGCCCAACAGTGCTGACCATAGGTGCCCAGCAGTGCTGCCCATCTGTGCCCAGCAGTGCTGTCAGTCTGTGCCCAGTAGTGCTGTCAATCTGTGCCTATCAGTGCTGCCAGTCAGCATCACCTGTCAGTGCCACCAGTCAGTGCTGCCAGTCAGTGCTGCCTATTACTGTAGTGCCTAAATATGCTGCCTATCAATGCCCATCAGTGCCACATGTCAGTGCAGCCACATCAGTGACTCCTCATCAATGCCCATCAGTGCCACCTCATCAGTGCCTATCAGTGCAGCCTCATCAAGGCACATCAGTGAAGGAGAAAAATTACCTGTCTGCAAAATGTTAAAATAGATGCAAAGAAAAACCTTTTTTTTTCAAAAGTTTGCGGTCTTTTTTTTGCTTGTGAGAAAAACAATTATAAAAATTTCATATGGATACAGTATTGCGTGACAATGCAGTTGTCATTCAAAGTGCAACAGCACTGAAAGCTGAAAATTGGCCTTGGCAGGAAGGGGGTGAAGGTCCTCTTTATGGAGACATGGGGTCCCTCCTCTACCCTTGCATGATGTCAATAAAACCCCCCCATTGATCTCATGCTTTACACACAAAGAAAAAGCAGTATTTACATCTGCCTAGCCGGCAGGGACATCATGACGTTTCTTTTGGCCTTCTAGATCATAGAGATGGCCCTGTGATCACCTGGTGGATCAGATACCGGGTTCCCCGATTGCACAAGGAAGCCCGGAGAAGTGCCGGTGGGCAATAAGAAGGGGGAGCATTCCATTCCACCACCTGTAAAAGCAATCCAGTGGATAATCAGCTGCTAGGATTGCTTTAGAATGAAACAGCATCGCCCTCTGAAAGAAAGAAATGCGAGTGTTATGGAATACAGCTGCAGCCATGACCTCAATATAACCACTTGAAGCCAATCACATACATGTACGTGATTTGGTGTCAATTGGTTTTACTGTGTATCACACAATGCAACGTTTTAAGTGTTTTTTGTAATCATATCCACCATCCTGACTTTTTAATAACAGAGTGGTAATGTATTTGTATTTTGAAGATAAATGTAGCCTGAGAGCCTTTCATTCTAACAGGGATCCTGAACTTATTGTTTCCTTTCGTTCAGAAGCGATAGCTTGTATTAAAAAGTGTGTTAACATATTTGGAGAACAAATTATTAAAATGTTACTAAACCCACAACAGTAAAATCAGTCTACGTATGCAGTAAAGCATGCTTGATATACTCACTGTGGAACCTATGGGGTTAATTCCCTACATTGTGCACAAATGCTGTTTGATCCTGACTTCTCTGATCCTCCCCTTCTGCCAGTGTCTCTCTCTTATCTGCTGATAAGATATATGGTGTGGAGACACTCTGCACATGTGTAGTCACATGCACATGCTCAGTTTGGTGTGTATCGTTAGAGATGTTTTTTGTTTTTTTTTCGGGAGAGTGCATGTGATCAGTACAGGGCCAATCAGCACTGTGCAGACAGAGGGCAGAGGTTTTGCATTCTCCTAGAGCAGAAATAAAACTCCTCCTACAAGCTTTAACCAGTGCTCTGCTAGGCACTGATAGAAGTCACAAGACTGCTCTAACTGCTGATGAGAAAAGGTATTTAGCAGTTTATATTTACTAAAATAATTGCATTTCCATGTTGTGTGTACTGTGGGAGACCAGATATAGAGAATACAGTGTCATGGGTTTAGTAACACTTTAAATGCTCCAAAGAACCAAGGCTACTGTGATTAACATTCCTTGCATATTATTTATTTTATGAGTCCTAATCCAGCCACATCACATTGCTCTTTTACCTAAAATAGGTTAACTGGTCCCTACTCAAAGTGGAGCTTTACCCAAATCTACTTTATAAAATGTAATGTTATTTAGCAAGGAACATACATTCCACATTAATAATTAAGTTACCAAAATTTGTGTGCACTAGATATTTCCACCATTATCGTTCCTGTTTCTTCTGGCTGGAAGCTGCCATTTTGCTGAAACCCAAAGTCCCTGAGCTGCAGTAAATCTTTAGGCTGTCTGCAGATCGGCCTCCATATTTTCAGCACAGTGCTGAAAAATGGAGAGCAACTGAGCATGTGCAGAGCAGGGTGCGTGCATGTAATACTGGATTTTAAGCAGCATATACTTATTTTTAATGTTTTACATAGCTATACTTGAAAAGCAGCCAGCCTGAAGTGATCTAGCAGGACTTACTTTTCTGACTAAAGTTCTACTTTAAAGCAGAACTGATACTGTTATAAAAAAAAATCAGATGGATGTCATAACTCACAATGTCATCTTTCATACTTTGGAAAAGTCCACACTTTGTCTGCTTATACCTGTTGTTATTCTTTCCCTTGCAGCTGTACATCTGCATTTTTGATTTAACATCCCATTATTTTAAAAATCTGTCTGGGGGAGGTAAGAATGCTGGCATTGTAACAGATCGCTGCCTTGAATGAAAAGCCAATCTTGCAGAATTTTCCATTCTAGGTGCCTGGTCACGAGAACTTCCCATTAAACAAACATAAGTCCACTGAGTTAAATACCAGTGTAAGTCAGGTTTATGGTAATAGATCATGTACCTGTTGTGTGGGGGGAGGGGGAATAGAGAGTTCAAATTAAATCAAACTGAACTATGAAGGATTGCGCTCCTAAAACTTTAATGCTTAAGGCCCCGTTCACATCTGGCAATTTGGGATTCAGGCATAATTATATTGTAAAGCACTGTGCAAACTGTTGGCGTTATATAAATCCTGTATAATAAAAATAATTCTGCCTGCGATCTCAAAATGAACTGCAATAGTGGCAACATGCACCACGCCCAGGGGCGGACTGACAACTCATGGAGCCCCCAGGCAATAGGGTATCATGGGGCTCCTCTTTCCTTGCCCAAACTCAAAAAAGCCTATGAAAAAGGTACCAGGGGCATCTCATGGGGCCCCCTACTGACCCGAGTTTCCAAATGATCAGTCCGCCCCTGACCACGCCTGTTCAGGTGCCATTCATTTTCAATGGCACCTAAACGCGGTTCAGTTCTGCCTGGCTTGTTGCTGAATAAATCACGCAGCAATCGTGGCAAACCACATCACATGAAGCTTGTCGCCAAAAAGAAGCTCCTGCTCCTTTTTAGGTGACAAGCTTTGAGCAATGTGGTTTGCCGCAATTGCATCAAGTTTTATCATGTAAAAATCGCATCAGAACCATACTGCATTTAGGTGCTATTGAAAATGAATGGCTCCTTAACATGCATGTTATTGCAGTGCAGTTTAAGGTCGCAGGCAGAATCGCAGCAATTCTGCCTGAGATTCCAAAACTCCAGATGTGAATGGGCACTAAATGTTTGAATAGGAATTATAATTTGCATCATTATTATAGGATACATATTAGTTATCCGTTGTTTACATATTGTTTAAATTGTGTATATTCTTTATTTTTTGTTTGATTTTTAGGAGCAGATGGAATGTGCTGATAAAATTGTAGTATCTCCTAGAAATTGTTAGCTGGTTCATTTAGCTTTGGTTCATACTATAAATTGCCTATGAATCACACAGGAAGTGCACCGCATTCCTGAGCAGTTCACATGTAATTCAGTGCAGTACAATTTGAGCCCATTCATTTTGAATGAGTTTAAATTGAACCAAAGTTGTGCATGCACCATTTTTGGAAATACGCTGCAACCAGATGACATGGTTGTTTTGTACTGCATTTGCAACATGTGTTTGGGGTGTCGTTAACATTGCACTGACACCTACTGCAGACATATACAGGACAAGGGTTTAGCCGAGAGTTCAGTGGGATCCTAGGTTTAGACAAAATTTGGTCTCTGAACAAAACCCAGACTTTTGGGTCATTCAGAGGGAAGTGCTCTGCAGGACATTTCATAATGCATTGAACACAACTGGCAGGCATAGCAGCATGAATTTGCTAGTGACACCACAATGCTGCCCTTTTTTTTTTTTTTTGTACAGCAGAGCATGGCATATTATTGTAGTGCAGTTTAGTCCACAAAAACAGTGCAGTTTCCAGAGCACCCAAACACAACATCCCCCATATACAGCTCTTGCCATAGCTGGTAATAAAAGGAGATTATAACATCATGCCTGGGAGGCCCAAAGAGAAAGGCAGAGCTGGTTCCCATGCAGTTATCAGGGGGCGAGCTGCGTCAGTATCCACAAGCCAAAGCAGAGGTCAGGGTGCAGCATCCAGGGTGCGGCGTCTAGAGTTAAGACATGTGCCTTTCTTTTGTGGCAGTGGGTGTGCTAAACACCTCCTAGAGCATGCTGAGGGTGTGGTGTGGTGGCGTGGCTGATTAAAGCCTCCATCATTCTCCTCCTCTGTGTCCCAGCAGTACCTTGAAATCATCATCAGCTGCTAAAATGCTGCTCTGCCTCCTCATCCACAGCTCCTTGGAGGAGTTGGCTGAGTTATTTGAGCACAGTATCAGCCACATAATGCATGATGAACAACAATTAATTGCATCTGAGGTTGAGGAAGAGAAAGGTGACAACAGACAGGGAGAACCAATTGGCATAGATATTCCTGCAGCTTCAGCCTACTGGCAAGTTGGTGCCAGTGATGAGGAGGCAGGGAGTGATGATGAGGTCTCCCACAGTACATGGGTGTACTTGGATTAAGCAAAGAAAGAAAGTAAGTGAGGAAGAGGCACAAGATTAGCCACACAGAATGTCATCCAGGGGCAGGTCACAGAGGAGATGAGGGAAAAGCTGTTCTATTCCTCTCCACCAAATGTTAGAGCTCCAGGGGTGCAGGGCACTGTTATCCCCCATTCTGCTTCCTAGAGCTCAGTTGTTTCAACATATGCACTCTAGATTGCAACATAGTAATTTGCAGTCTCTGCCATAAAGTGATTGTAAACCCTCACCTTGTAAAACAACCCATTCAGTTTAAAATAGAAATGAAAGACAAAACATTTGTGTATAGCTATAAAAGACTTTATAAATACCTTTTTTCCCTTTTTATAAGTGATCACATACCTTCTGATCTCAGCTGCATAAGAGCTAGGGAAGGAGAAACAGATGCACACTGAACTTACCAGTGAAAGGCTGTGTGGGGCCTTCCAGGACAAGTCTAATCATTGGAAGAGAGCAGGCTGCATTTCCAGCATAGCTAGAGAACTGACCATAGTGTACTCTTCTGCTTAGTGTAGTCACTTTTTAATAGGAAAGCAGAGGGACTGGCAGGAACACAAATGATTTTACACAAGGAAAGCAATACAAAGAGAACAGGATACTTTTTCATACAAGTACATGGTACAGCAGGCACATACTGTATCAGGAATATGAACTGTTCGGTTTACGTACTCTTTAAGTGTATTGTAGTGATACCACATGTATAAAGAGACTTGTATAAACATGACTTCTCACTACACAGACTATTAAAGGAGGAAAGCTCTCTTGGCCATACTTCACCTGTAGGTTACAGGAGTGCACATAGTTCTGTGACCCGTATTCAGCCAACACTGGGCTAAAGCCTGCTGTCAGCTGACATCACTCCAGACTGTGGAGAGATCCCAACTTTAATGATGGTTTAGCCTCTCAGCGCGCCACTGAAATCCTGAAGCAGTCTCTCCCCTGCCCTCTACAGCCCAGTGTTCCAGAGAGAGCTGGAGGGGCAAAACAGAGAGCCAGTGGCTCTCTGCTCACCGAAGACAAAGAACTTAGCAATCAGTGGCCTTTGATCACTCAGTTCTTGGTCTTAGAGATAGGGGGGGGGGGGGACAGATGCAGCATCAGACCAATGCTGTAACCACCTAGGTGAGTATGTATGTTTATTTTTTATAAATTCTATTTTAAGGGCAGCACCTGAATGCTAGTGATTGTCAAGTAAAGCTCATCCTTTTCCATCTTTTCTCCCACTTTGCAAGCCTGAGGTTTACCTTATGGCTCTTCCAGCAGGAAAGAGTGTCAGCATGGTGCCACACAAAGTAGGGACAAGCATAGCCTGCAACTTGGCTCTGATTTTGACAACCCCACCCTGTCATTTCCAGCTGTAGCATTTAGCAGGCAAACCTCTCTGCCCAGCTATTGGAACAGAAGAAGTAGACAACATCTCTGGCTTATCAGTTTCTATGTTTAGTAAATTCTGCCCAAGTATGTGAATTTGCAGCCTGTGCTGCATTGCAGTGGCAGGTTCCAGTCCACCATTTCGTAATCATTAAGGCAATCCCTACCCTCCACTCTCATGTGGAAGGTAAAGTTTCCATGTTGCTGAACCATGCAGCCAGTGGAAGGGCCCACCTGACCATAGACACATTGTCCAGCAATATGTGCAGGGATTTTATATATTATTAATGGCCCACTGGTAATCTCTCTTGGCAGCCAGGAAAGATTCAGGACAAGGCACACTATTGGAGGTAGTTGTTTTCAACCCAGGTCCTTACAGCTGTTGATGGTGAAAGCACAGTCTCCTCAACATTTCTCTTCGAGTGAGTCATCCTCTGAACCACCAGTCCCCTTAAACATTCAGGAAGCTATGCAATGGCTCAGGGAAAACTGCCATACAGTGCTGCAACTGGTAAGCCTAGGGGCCAGGATCCACACTGAGGCTGAGATTCTGTTAGCTCTGTAGGGACAGGCCCAGGGTTGGTTACCTCATGTCTTCTTGTGCAAGGGA